TGTGTGTGTGTGTGTGTGTGTGTGTGTACATTACTCTCTTGTAACACTTCTAGATCTACTCTTCGGCCCTTATATTATGTTGCAAGTGCCTCAAAACTCTAACTAAAACTAACACTGAGTACAGTCTAACTTGTCCGAGACGACAACCCGTTGTTGAGGAGGAAGGTGGTTATTTTCAATATGCGATCTTCTTGGACAATGACAAAATATTTAGTTTGATGAAACAGAGATAAACACAAGGGGAGGAATGGGAAGTGGTCGTTTGTACAGGTGACTGTCGTAGACAGGTGGTCGTTAGAACAGGTTCTACTATAAAAAGAAGCACATGGACACTCTGTTTTCCCCACGAACAAACTAAGACTGATCTGTTTCCCTCCCCAGCCACGCCGCTCGGCGGTCTGCCCATCCTGGAGATCAACGGAAAAACTTTCGTACAGGGCCTGGCTTTGGCAAGTTTCCTCGCCAGAGAGAACGGTCAGTTTGTTGTTGTTGTTGTTGTTGTTGTTGCTGCTGTTGTTGTTGTTGTTGTTGTTGTTGTTGTTGTTGTTGGTCGTCGTCGTGGTGGTGGTGGTGGTCGGGGAGGTGAGGGTCATCGTGTGGTTGTTGTTGTTGGTGGTGGTGGTAGTGGCGACTAGCCACTCCAAAACATAGAATTAAAATGCATCCTGTACAGGTTCTATCTAAATATGTACATTTTGGTTGACGTCAACTGGGGGGTGACATAGGAAGCGAAAAAAGTGTAGAGGTGATCAGCAATCAAAATGAATTTTTAAAAATCCCACAAAACTTATTATTTGATAAAATCTAGGAAAAAAACTAAAATAATTTCAAGACGAGAAAATGGTTTAAGATGTGTCATGAAAAGCGAGGAGTAAATTGTTACTTTATCTGAATGTCCTCTAGCCAGAATTCGTATTCACTCCTTTCTAACAATCTTCTAACTAACATCATTTCGCTTTTACTACCTTGTTTTTGCCTATCATTGTTCCTTAACATAAGCAACAGTATGACGCTTTCCCCCAATTCTCAGGTTAACATTGTTTCTTAACCTGGTGGATCTCAACTCAACTTTTGCCCTACCTGATCGCTACCACTATGAGCTTTTTATGTAAAAGGTAATGAGTTATGGGACAGGTTCATTCTTTGCTCTAGTATATTTGTGAGGCAGCGTGGTGTAATCAGGCTCTCGTCAAAATAATGAAATCAAAGATATTGGCATTTTTCTGCCCGTTTGGCAATTTTTACCAGATTTTTGTTTTTAAGCTCAACAGCTTTTATGTTCATATAAAAACACATTTCTGAGTAAATTATCCCGAAAAAATTGATTAAAAGTGCAAAAAATGTAAATTTTCAGTTTTCAAGGACTCTCACGCTTTCAAAGATACCAAGTTTTGGCGGTCATTTTCTCCCGTATTTTTCCTTTGAAATCAGGTTACCCTACTTACTTCAATTACAAATATTTCGACTTCTATTAAAGATAAATGGGTACTTTTTTTCACCGAAAGATAGACAAATGAACAGGCTTTCAGGTGACACAAATAACTCCACATTCCCAAATATCGACGAGTGCCTGATTCCATCCCGCTGCCTCACATTTTATGCCTTATCTAAAGTGCTTCAAAAATCACTTCTCGCGTGTATTTCATGTTTTATCTAAAATGCTTTTTAAAAAGAAATTAACTCCTTTGGTCTCAACAATATAATCAGAGTATCAGAAACTCTATTAATCATTCCTTTCTTTACCATCACTAATCTTGACTATGTTTTTGTAACATGTTATTATAATCTTTTATGCATATGTCCATGAACAGTTCTTTTATGGTGATTATGATGATGATATTAATGATGATGATAAGGACAATTTTGTTGATGATGATTACGACGACAACGACGACGACGACGACGATGATGATGATGATGTTGATGATGATGATGATGTTGATGATGATGATGATGTTGATGATGATGATGATGATGATGATGATGATGATGATGATGATGATGATGATGAGGATGCCCGTCTAGTAGTAGAGTCTAAATACATCTAAATTGACAGCCAATTGCCTTCTGTTTCAGTTCTGACGCAACCATGGCCAGCAAACCGTCTCAGCTCCGACTCACCTACTTCGACGGCCGAGGTCGCGGGGAGATCTGCCGACTCATCCTGGCCCACGCCAAAAAGAACTATGAAGACAAAAGGATCACCTTCGAGCAGTGGGGAGAATTCAAACCAAGTGAGTCGTCTGTAGTATTGCCGTCATTTTTTAAAAAGTACAGTACCGTATAGTCAATGATCATACATATATGTAAGATCTTAGGTATAGTTGTACAGTGGACTCCGCTTGTGTTGTGACTCGCTTGAGTTGATCTACTCGGCCGATCGGGGCCGATTGCCCGACTCGGTTGCCTAAAAAACAAACGTGTTTGTTTTCAGTTTCAGGCGATCGAGACGGGCGATTGGCCCGATCCAGCCGTAGTGGGCACCCCGTTCGCTTAAGATGATATATTTCAGGGGTCCCAGTACCTCTTCTTCTTTACAGATCACAAAGGTCAAGTTGAACTTCGGATTAGTTAATTTTCGCTCCCTCTTCGATATTAATATTAATTCATCCGTAGTCGACAGTATAATATGCAGTTTTTACGTTTCTCAGCTGATCCAAACCAATAAATTGAATGCTATTACCAATACAAAAAAACAAACTCTTTTCAAAAATCCCAAGTCAATATTTTCAAGAATACACTTTTGATAATAACTTCTTTGTTATTTTTAATGCAAATGTTGTTTTCTTGGTAACAACATTGTTTTGGGGTGGTTGTTGTTTTGTTGTTGTTGTTGTTGTTGTTGTTGTTGTTGTTGTTGTTGTTGTTGTTGCTGTTGTTTTTTGTTTCTTTTATATTTCTCTCCTGTAAAATTGTAAAAACTGTTTATACGTTACTTCATTTTTTTTAAAAATGACAGCAGACGCATGCTTTTGAGTTTGAGAATGTATTTAGAGTGGGTGGTTGGTGGATGTTCTGGTGTGGTTTGCTCCTTCAAGCGGGTATTATCTTTATTTCAACTCTTTGTGTGTGTGTGTGTGTGTGTTTGTGTGTGTGTGT